GCGGTGGGGGCGAGGTCCCATTTTACACTTCAGTTTTCAGCAGTTCTTAGATTTCCTTAGTGGAAGGGCCTCATTCAGCCCATAAAAGAGAGGAGACTGTGGATTGTTATGGCTTGTCTTAATAGGGTCTTTGTTTACAGATGATCAGTGGCTGAAACATGGCAAGGTAAAGGTTCATGATTGTCTTGGTTTTATGTGTTCTGTAAATTTAGGTGTAGTTAGGAGATAGTAGTAATGCCTGAGATTCTTTCATGGTGTGCTGGCAGCTTTTCTTCCTGTGCTTTTTTAGTTATTTAGTTTTTTAGTTTTAGCCCTCTAGCAGGACTTGGAAGCCAAAAGGTTGATACGAGGTTTCTTTTCCCTTGTGAACATCTATTGAGGCAAATTATGGAGGTCCTAGACCAGGGCAAAAACCATAGACCAGGAGTGGAAGAAGGAGATAGCAGGGTTTAAAATATTTGTGTGTATTGCAGTATACTATTTTTTCATATGAAAAGATTAACTTGAACTTGGTTCCTGTCACACTTCCTTAGGAGTATTCAGAGTAATCTTTCATATTGTTTCAGCTATTGATGAGAATTAGTTACAAAGGAAGTGTTAAGGGAAGTCATTTCTGGTTTTGTTTGTAAAGTCTCTGCTTGTTTGCTCATGGAATTTTCTAATTCTTTTTCACACATGTGGACTAACAAAACTGACTGTGTTCCAGATTTTTAGAATGTCAGAATTCTAGTTAGACAAAGTTAAACATAGAAATTGTGCCTTTTTTCAGTACGTTGTGTTTACTTTCTGCCATATAAGTTTTCTTTCATACCTAATCCAAGAGTGCATTTCACTACTTCCATGTTCACCAAATCATAACCACACGAAGAGGTTATTCACCACTTAGGAATGAAAGTCCCATGTGTTAGCTATTATCTTCGCTGTGCTGCAGCACTTCAGAATGAGTGCTTGGGAGAGACTTTATGTGCTGTACCCAGCCTTTTACTCTCTTCCAGGCAAATGCAGATACCTAGGAAATGCTACTTTCTTTTGCTTGGGGGTGGAAGAAAAAGATCTTTGTTCTTCTCATAAGTTAGCAGAAGTTTAATTGTGGGTTTTGAGGACTAGGCCCAAAATAGATAGCATGATTTATTGTATCTGAATTATGCCAAGTAAATACCTCGATGTTTCCACTCAGTTCTAGGAAGAAAAGTCATCCTTGTTTAAAATATGTGCAAGGATTTTTGTTGATCTCTCTCCCAGGAAAATTATGAACGTCATTATACAAATATGCATTTTAGTAATATTTAAAATTATTTAGACAGTTAAACTGTTTGTCCTCTTTTCAGGGTCTAGAAGACTAAACTAAAATAACATGGTTACAATTTATCTTTAATTCCAGATTACAGATTTTTCTTTATTATTAGTATTAAAATCAAAGTTCCTGTAGATGACATTCAGGAAAAGCTGATCAGCAGGGAATTTCCTGCTGTCTGAATACATGGAGATAAGTTATGCCACTGTGATGATAGCCACAGGTTCCATTTGAGGGGAGCTAGTTGTGATGCAGTGACCTAATACAGCATTCCTGCCTGTGGGGACAGATTAGGAGACTGAATCGTTGAATTCCTGGAAGGTGGTAGAGTAACTATAGATAGTGAAACCAGACTGTGCAGAAACTCAGAGTTGCTGTCAGAAGTGCCACGTGAATCTCAGCGTTTTGTGGAAGGTAACAAAGCCATTCGTAGGGTAAATGTAGCAGTTTATATGGGAACTGGTGTGGGATTGCTGAACCTTGTTACATTTTCTCAGTCATCAGAATTGGTGTAAGCTTTTAAACTGCCTGCTGGCAGGGAAATTTTATTTCATTCTTGTCCTTTAAAAAGCAGTTGTCCTTGTTACATTCCAGCTAAAATCAAAAGCTGTTGTCTGCTAAAATTGTCTGTTTGTGGTCCTTACAATTGGAATCATCTTCTTAAGAAGAAGTCCAGGCATATTTCTTGCTTCGTGACATGGGCATAAAGTCTTGCTCGCTGCAAGAAAATCATCAGGGAAGTGTATTATTAGATGGTGGGTGTAGGACAAGGAGGCCAAGAGAATGTATGGAAGTGAGGGAGAAAATAGTGGAAAGTAAATACCAGGGAGGAAAGAAGGAAGGGAAGAGTGCAGTGGGAAGGCCCATAGAATACAGGGATTGGGAAGCCATAGCACAGACAATTTATATGACCTGGGCAGTAGGAGAAAAGAGAAAGGAAAACGAGGGAAGGTTTAAAAGAAAGATGTGAACAGAGGGTGTTATAGCAATGGTTCTCTCAGGGTGCTTAGTTCATTCAGAGCCAGACATGTCTTCAAATCTATCCTGTTACGAAGAGCTGAAGCACAGCCTCAGTTAAGTCGGTTCCTGCAACTGGCCCTGGAGCATGGAAGAGTGTGGGTGAAAGGACAGACTTGTGCTGGTTACCATTCATTTTACTGGGTTGTCACCTGAAATGGACAGTGAAGGAAGGGCCTGAAGAAGGTTGCAGCTCATTATGGGTACTTACTGAGCAGGCTGTGCAGTCCCAGTGATACAGGACAAGCAGGTTAAAACAGTGATAATCAGATATTACCAGATACTCTTTTATCAGGTTTCCCTGCTCTATCTTCTACCTGTGGGGAGACCACTTCCCTGCAAATACATGGGAGGGCCTGCATTCCAATGTTACCCTATATCCTCAGCTCATCTTGGTAAATAATCACTACATGAAGTTAAAAGACTTGTAAAAATGGCATTTCATTTTTCTCCAAACAGGTCTAGCTTTTCCATAAGTAAAAATTGAAATGATGTGTGAGTATACAGGCTTCTGGAAACGCCTTACAGGACAGCCAGGTCTCTGTTGTTCACTCTGATACATGACTTTGTTCCAGTTCTGGGATAAAATTGGGAAGGTTTTTATTATGGCAAAGTCTTTCAGAGAGAACCTGAAAAATCAAGTCTTGCTCGGGAGCCATCCTGCATTAGACTTTGGAATTGAGTTACGTCCTGCATTAGACTTTGGAATAGTTTTCTTTTGGGATCTTTTAATTATTCACAGTCAAGGAAGAGGTTGGCAGGTGGATTAGCAGGAAACCTCAACTTGTATATGAAGTAGGGAATGTGGTAGGCTAAGGTCTTTTGGATAGCATAGACAATAACAGCAAAGTTTAAAAAAAGTATTAAACTCCTTTGTTATATTTTCCTTGAAATTTACAACCCGCATTATGCACTAAAGTTTTAGATGTTTTCTCTGTCAGTGTCAACCAGTAAAATGTATTTTAAAAGCAAAAAAGATAAAGCTCTGAGTCCGTTGATCTAACACTTCAGTAATTTACTATCATAAAATAGTTTTAAGTACAAATGTTTTATCTTATGCCAAGCTGGACACTAAAGATGTTTTGTCTAAAAAATGAGATAGTGGAAAGTGTATTGTGGCATGTGAATTACTTTAGCTTCTTGGTGGTAAAAGTTTGCTTAACCAGAAAAGAATGTGTTGAGGTCCTTGCCAAAGGAAAGGTATTGCCATACTTTGCATTTAGACCACTGTAAATAAAGCAGTAAATATGTTTCTGTTCATGTGTGTTAATCCACACGTTATGAATGTATTCATTCAATAAGAAATGTAATATACTGTTATCCCTTTTAAAAGGTTTCAGTAAGAAGAGGTCATGGTTACTTTGGGTTGAGGGAAACATGAAACCAAATATTTTCATGGTGATTGAAGTTGAATATGAGAAATAGTTTTTACTCTAACTAAGTTTCCCTTAAATCCCAAGAACTCAAATCCTGTTTTACCTTCAGTATTCTTCTTGTGTGCTGACTCCTCTGATGTACCGTTCTTAATCATGCATTGCTGTAAATCATAAAGTATATGATTTCTTTCACCCATCTGGTGTTGGTTTTGGCAAAAGAAAACCAACTGCATAATATGTTAATGATCAGAGGAGGCAGAGCAGCTATGGGTAATACTCCACTTATTGCTTGCAGTATGTTTTGGTTTTGAACTTCATGACTTCAACATACAATAGCTTATTAGTAATTTAATAATGTTGATTGCGGTGTAATAATATCAGAGCATCTGTTGGATGCTGCAGTTATGGCAAGTGAAAGAAAGGGGTTTTCTTTCAGAGGGCTTTGAAATATCCCTCCCTGTCGCCAAAAACCCATGTCCAGGTTTCCAGTTAGAGAATTGGGAGAGATTATTACAATTCTAGGAAATAATCATGAGAAGACGCTCGGTTTGCTTTCTATTATTGTGGTATCATATGTTACATACCTGGCTTCATCCTCCAGGGTGAAGAGCAGCCCTTTTCTGACAAAGGTAGCACACACACACATGGGGATTTCTACAGGGAATTTCTTGCAGATAAGCAGTGATTTGCTTAGCATAAATGGGGATATTGTACCATCTTTTAGAAACTAGTGTCCCAGTGTTCTGGATATTGGAGTGCTTCTACAAAAACAGAGCTCTTAGTGCTTCCAGTGTACCTTTGCTTTAGTAATTTTACAGGTACACTTTTTATTTCATCTTCCCTGTACTTTACTGGTAATTCATAAGCAAATGTGTTAAATAAGGTGCATTACTAACCATGTGAATTAAACCTGTAGTGTTAAAGCCCATAAGTAGAACATTAAGTGTTATTTTAAATTTAGAATCTGATTTTGGTAAATATATCCATTTTGGTAACCCCATGTCCATATCTGATTTTGGTAAAAGTACTTGGTAAGTACCCATAAACCATTTCAGCCCTTAGAGAAGTTTGACTTTGACTCTCCTCCTAGATGTCAGGAGGGTTTAAAAAAAAAATGTAGTTCAATAATAAGACTGTATCTATAACATTTGAATCGTAAGATAGTTCTTCTGAACACAGTATCATCTGAAAATCCTGTGATTTGGCAGAAAGCTTCTCTTCTTTCCTCCCCCTCTCTCCACAAAAAAAAAAAAGTGTACATCATGTCCTTTGTGGTATTAAAATTCAAAATGAACTTCCCTGTTATTTTTAAGGTACTATGAACTGGATGCCAGAAGAAGCCTTCTAGACAATTTGAAAGGCAAAGTAATAATTGAGTATCCAACATTTTTTGTGGTCTTGAAAACATTGAAGAATGACATGGTGATTCTTGGCCAAGGTAAGTATTTATTTCCTGTTTTACTATACTTAGATATTTTAGTTAAATAAACAACAATTAAGGATGTGCCTGTTAATGATGCTGGGAACGTGCAGTATGTCTTGTATTTCCCTCTGAATCTAAAAGTTTGCTATTAAAAAAGGTGTTACGAATGCTCTGTCTTAAAACTGCTGGCTGGTAGCTTACATCCATAACCTGTATGGTGTATGTATTTTTAGCCACTAAGGTGAAGCAACTCTTCAGACTTGTTCTAAATTTTGAATGTAGCAAAGTTTGACAGAGTTGGTTATTTCTAAAAAGCAAAGCTGTTTGGGAAGGTGATTCGTAAGTAAAGCCTGCTGATCATTCAAATGAATTGTTCTCCATTATTTCCTAGTATAACTCCTAACACTGGACAAGTAATTCTGAATTACAGGTTAGTTACTAGAAATCATAATGGTAAGGTAGCTTTTCAGATGGGTTAAAAGCACAATGTTATCTTTCAAGAAGTACTTTGTTGAGGGATGACTTTCATCTTGTAGTCAACTTAGAGGAGAGTCCAGGTCTAGCAGGAATTTGTAATTTAGTTTTGAAGGTAATTTCCATCCTTCTGCCAGTATAAAGGCTTTGTGTCCCACCTTCATTTTCTGCAATCAGTGCCCTTGTTTTTCAGTCCCCCTGCTAGTCACCTTAGTTACGAAATCCCATACTCTTCAGTGATGAGCCCATCTGTAATTTTTAAAGATTTCTAAAAAAAAAAAGCTTTAAAGTATGTTTGCAATGGCTATTTCCTTGTGGCAGCTCAGTCATGGCTCTATGTGAATATAATTTGACTGAATAAATGAGAGACTGAGAATATTGTGCCAGTCATATTAAACTTCCATGGATCTCCTCTGTTCTGGCTAGTCAACATTAAATGATCCACTGGAGCAGTCTGCTCTCAGAACACCAGCATGTAAACATGTATTGTGCTATGCACTGCAAGAGCTTCTGAGAGTGAGACACCATGCCAGGGGATAAGGTAAAGAGTCTTGTCTGAGCAACTAGGTATACTGATATTCACCGTATGTGAATACGGTGTACATACATACACTCAAGTAAAAGAAAATGAGATACTTTCAGTTTATCTTGAGCTACATCCCTTGCTTTTCAGTAGTCAGCCCTATTCCCATGACTTAGATGTCAGGAGGGAATAACAATCGGCTCATGAACTTAATCTGAACAGGGTGGTGGTTGTTGTCCCCTGAGCTAGTAAGGAGGTTGTCCTTTTAAGGGTATAGATTCAGATAAGTGTTGATTGAATAACTGTATTCTGAGGTCGTGCTGCCACACAGCTAGCTGGTTCTGTAAAAGGCAGAGTAGAAAGGCAAAGGAAGCAAGAGCCAGTAATAGCTGGGGAAGTGCCGATGTCTCTGTACCACAGCAGTGCGAGTGTGTGTCTTCAGGATCTTCAAGAGTAATCCCTTCTTCTGCTGCAGGGATTATTCAGTTAGCAGTCACCCCTGGAAGTGGTGTTTGGGGAGCACTGGCACTGTTTTGGGAACCAATAATTTTCTTAATTATTTTTTGAACTGTTTCTATAGATTCTGTAAAAATAAGTGCGTAGCTCCCTATTCAGATGTCTTAATGACATCTGCAATAGATGACAGCTAATGGCAAAAATAGCATGATTTTCACAACTTTTATCATAATGTGGTTTTGTACATCTTATCAGTTAACATACTAACACTTCAGCCTTGAGTTTAGTTTGGACCCTGTGTTCTTGGAGCTTTTTCTGTTGAGTGAAAGCCTGCCACAGTAACTCCAGATTCTGTCAGGAAAAGCATGTTCAGAACAATATAAAAATGTGAGGGCTTTTTTGTTACTATTGCTCCACCTGAAGACAAAGTACCACTTTTGCTTAAGTGTGGCACAATCACAGTACTCTTCTGTTGTGTGTCATCTTTACAGAATAAAGGAGAAAAACCAGTAAATACTGTTTGCTTTACCAGTTGCATTCACATATAATTGCTAAGAGTGAAAATAGTGGGTTCACCTCTAGACCTCTCCAGGGAGAAGTCTGTTGTAATGAGGGAGATACTTCACTCCCATCTGCCAAGAAGTGACCTTTCTGCCGCAGCATCGTCTGTGTTTCTTACAGTGCAGTTTCTTAGTCATTTATGGCTCTTTGTATCAGGTGCATGTCCTCCTAATCCATTCATGCTGCTCATGCTTATTCTATCTCTACCAATACTGCTTTTCCTTTCTGCCTTCTCCAGTGCACCCGGAGGGACACTTGTCTCAGAGCGCCTGTCCGGCTGACCTCCCTTTCACATTCCATGCAGACAGCTGCCACACTGATGAGTGGATGTCTGGCAGGGTGTCTGCTGGAGCACAGGGGCTCTAACTACCATAGTTCCCCAGACTCTGTTTGCAAAGGACGCAGGCTAGAACAAGAGACAAAGTCTTGTGGGAATCTGACTGCTAAAGTATCGTTTCTTTACTGAGCAATCTCAGATCTGCCCCCTTTCCCCAGGAAGAACTCTGCTTTCATAGCCGCAGCAACAGGCACATGCATGAAAATCACCATTCCCCCCATGATTCAAGTTACTACCCCCAAAGACTGGGGAAGGGCTAGAGCTAGACACCTTTGAAGGGAAACTGCTAGAATTTAATGAGGATAAAGCCTGTTTCTCCTATCCTTTTTCTCAGAAATGGCTGAATCATTCTGCCTGAAACATTTAAAAAGGAAAATAAGTACTCAGGAAGGAAACTGGCACTGAAAGATTTAAACCCAGAGTTTAAATTTTACATTATAAGTAAACTGCAGACAGTTTTATGGTGGGAAGGACTGGGCAATCTTAATTTATAGGCAGTGCTATCACCACCTACAAATATAATCATTTTGAGTGAAGACAGTCTGTAATTCCTGTTAAATAAAACTTACTGTGATAGACTAAGGCTAAAATTTATCTGTTTAGCTTCACTGTCAGAAGATTGCCACTTTCTTTTATGTGATGTTTTGGTGCTTGACTTGCTTATAGTAAAAACTACAGGTGCTCTGATTTCAGTGTACAAGGTCAGTCATGGCTGAAGATAGGAGGGGATTATAGAAGCTTTCACAGGAATTAGGGGCAAAAACAAACCTTGCTTTGTTCATTACTCAGTACATATCTGGCATATAAATGTTAATTGATTATACACTAGATTTAATGTAGACAAAATGTGACCTCTGATGTTTCTGGGTGAAATGCTTTATTTTCTTGAACAGATTCCATTGAAACTGTACAGGTGCACACTGTGCCCTGTGTATTATCCCTGTTTGCCAGCTGTGGAACTTAATCTTGACAAGACAGTAACTGTACTTCATCGGCTCTCTTTTGGTAAAATTTCTTTAATGAAGCATCTGACACTAAATGCTAAAAAACTTTAAATCCATAGTCAGGTCAAATACTGAAAATAACAGAGTAGAGCATGAATCATGGGCCTGCTTTGCTGCAGTTTATTTTTGTGCTGCTTGAGTGCCACCAACCAGCGGTATCTGATGACCTCACCACAAGGTGACCGGGGTCAGCCCTTGTTATGGAAGGAGTCTCAGGGCGTGAGGCTGAAAACTAGTTTGGGAAATGAGTTCTTCACAATATGATCTCAGCAGAGCACCACAGCCATGTCCTAAAGCACAAGTTACTGTGTAGCATTAGCCTCATCAGCCTTAGCTCATGGATTCACACAGCTTAACACCATCTTTGGGATGCTGGAACACATGGAAGAAGCATATGATCCCAGTTTTCCATTTGCATTTAGGATTTCTCAGTAGTTCCCCATCTTAACTGAAGTGCTAATAAAAATGTAAGTGATTTATAGTTCACTGCGGTTGTGATACATGTGTGTAGCAACCCAGAAAACATTTAAAGCAAATAAGCAGAAAGAAAAGATCAGAATTCTCAGTTCTGATAGATAGATGAAGAAGAGTTTTGTATGGGATAAATATTCTGCTTACATCCATAACTGAAAGACCAAGATTTTAAAACTAAAAGGAATTTTCAACAGTGTCTGTCTTTCTCCTTCAGCAGTGAGGTCCTACCTAGGGCCTTATCCCATGTTATTTGACTTGTTACGTCTTACGAAACAGCTGTACTTAAGGAAAGTCTGAGTAAAAGGAAAGGAAAAGAAGATACAAAAACCTGCTTCTGTTTGATGATCAGACAGCACTGCTGAAACTAATTGCTGGTTTGTTTTTTGTTTATGTCCTGCTCCTTCAGATGCCAGTGAACCTGCAGAGAACTCGGACAGTGAAAGTTCATCCCTTTCATCTGTGGAAGAAGGGGAAATTCGGGACAGTTCATGACAGTTCTTTGGGAAAAGAGGGTGGAATGAGCATTTTGGTTGGGGGGGGGGGGGGGGGGGGGGGGCTGTTTTTGTTTTGATGGTTTTAAATTTAATTAATTTTATATATATAAAAAACTGCCTTTTCAGAACTTTGGTTTGGCTTTCTTCACTAAAGGCAACACTTCCAAACTGCCTGCCTATTTTGGGATTTAGTAATGGATATTTAGGGATGTAAATAAAGAGATGGGGAATTTCTGGTTCCAGAAACAACATTATATTCTGATTTAAACGCACACTTTTGTCCATGTATCTTTAATAAATCAGCCACCCAAATTTAAAATTTCCAGGTTATCCTCAACAACGTATTTTTTCCTTTTGTCCTAACAGCTCAGTGACTGATTTCCAAGTTTAAATACCTGATAACGTATTTGTATTTATATATGGATTCAAGTCTTAATGCTTAAATGAACATTAGATTAATTTCCTTTTTGGGGTATTTCTGTGTCATGCTGAGCTGCTGCGAATGATTTTACTTTGCTTTTGAGTTTAATCTGTGGTGAAATTCTGGGTGCCTGGTACAGTCCATTGGTTTTTATTATTATTGCTTTTTCTTACTTGGTTGCATCTTGTTTGATGCGTTAAGGACAGCTCAAACTATGTTTTCAGGGTGGCATCTTGTTGTATGTTTAATCTTCTACCCTGATCTTCTAAGTCAGCATGGGGTTTAAAATCAATAGAAATGGATACTGAGAGTGTCAGTAATGCTAACATACTGGACTTCTGAACAGTGCTTATGTTATGCATCTCCTATTAGTAGTTTACCTACTGAAGCCAGGTATTTCAAATAGTTACTGGAATATCAACTGAATTTACCTACTTAAAAGAAAATAAACCTTAAGAAAATAAAAAAGTTCTCTATCATCTGCTGACAAGAGAAATCTCTTGTTAACTTGTGAGAAGACTTCTGGATCCCAGCCCACTGTATCCAATTTCCCTGTGTCTGTGGGGTCTACTGGAGAATAATAAATGTGTGCTGTGAGCAGTGTGAGACAGGCCTTTAGAGTTAGTTTGCAAGGGTCTACCTAAGTCAGTATTTGTTTTAAGTCTTCAGGATGTGATCACTGTGAACAGCTCTGTGAGATGTCTGCTGCCCCTGTTGTTCCCTAGTCTGTCTGTCTCCTGCTTGAGACTGGCACCTCTGTGACAGAAGTCAGTGGCATGGGATGCCCCTAAACTGCCATGGAGGTGGGTTTTCAGTCAGAAGTGTACTCCCTGCCAGCACTGATCTTAATAGGTAGAAAGACAACAGCAGTGAAGGAGCTTCACTGAGAGGAGCAGGGCAGGCCAAGCAGACGAGCAGGATGCGCCAGGCAGAGTTCTCCACCTACACATGTGAGTAATTGTGAGTAACTTGTTCAGGTAACAGGAGGCTGTGGCAGCAATAGGTGAGAGGGCTTGGGCTTCCAGAGTCTCAGTCTGGAGTTCAGGCTACTGAGCTGTTAGTTCCTTATCAGTCATGCTGTGTTAATACTGTTTCTTACAGTCATACTACATATCCTTACCCTTGTGTGTTTTGCAGGCCCTGGAAAAACAGGGAAGTTTTTCTTCTTGCGTGGCGGTAGCCACCTGTGCTCTGTTGTATTTATTAGTAATTGTTGGTCCTCTGCCCACCTCTTGTTTCAATATTTGTTTTTTTACCCTTTTTAAAGGACCAGGATTCCTAGCTATAGGTGCTTCTTTCACATCTTTTTCAGTCCAGTGAAAGTGAAATCAGTGATTATTGCACACTGACTTGGTAGCCACAAATTACTTTAAACCAGTCTTGAACTCATTCATTACGACGCTGATAAAAGAGCAGAACAGCAAAACTGCCACAGTTCTTTTGCCAGAAAATGTTTCATCCAGAGTTAATAGCGTGGCATTTCTGTTAAGATTCATAGCACACAGTGGAAATGAAAGTGCTTGCAAATATTAGTGTTGATCTGCATGTGTGTGCAATTAGTCTTTGGCTGGGGAAGGCAGAGTTATAATTTGCATTGCTCTCCTACACTCATGGAGGCTTTCATTAATTGCATGAAATGGTTTGCCTCTGGGTTCTTTTTTTCTTATATAAATCTAGTTTAAGCTTCCTTGTGCCTCAGATACAGCTGTAATTTGTCTTTAAATGAAGATGCTGTTAAATACCTCCTCCAGATTTAAATCTTCTCCTACCTTAAAGAAGGCTTAAAAAAATTATTAAAGAGCATTCCTGTGGTGGTTAGTAGAACTGAAACTTCCCAAACAAACCTGGTAATCATCTTCCAGAGTTCAGTCACACTGAGAGTAAAAGGCCTTGGTAGCATTTGCCATTCAGTCCCAGGTTACTATTTGCGTATTTTTATTTAGTTTTGATAAGAGTTTCACTAGTTGGAACTGTGGTGATTCGTCAAATGCAAGCCAAGATGAAATTCAAATATTTTTCTTTGGTTTTACTAAAATTTTTCAGTCTTTGTTTATAAAAATGAATCAAAATGATGGTCTCTGGTTAAAAGCGCAGCCTGACTTATGACAAGTGACCAGTGCAGATCCTGCAGGTGGTAATTCTTCATAATAATAAGGTTACTGATTTAATCACAGTTTATGAACTCTTTGGCTAGGCAGATAGTTTGTAAAACTTTCATACGCATTTAGGGAAACATTTCAATTCCTTTCTGAGTCAAGTTTATGGTCAAGCACTTAAAATTTAAAACATGGAGCTTGAGGCTGCTTGGAAGACTCAGTTCTGTCCATCTTGAAGACATACTATTGTAAGCACATTACACAAGGATCCCTACAGAACTCTGCCTTGATTCAGGGCAGATGATGTCTGCGAATGAAAACTGTCTGATGTTGTCTTTAATATTCATTCAACACCAGCTTGCATTGAGTGCTTGATTGTATGCCTACTATACTTACTCATTTATTTTCCTCTGTAAACCACTTGTCACAGAAGGAACAAGCTGTTTGTGTGTAGAGTTGTTACGGCATTTCTTTCAATGGTTAGGCTTTGCAGGTTTCAAACCCTGAACCCTCACAGCATGCTTGAGCCCAAGGACCATCAGCTTACAAAGCAAAGGCTCTTGTCCTGAATGAACACGCTACTTAAAAAAATTAAAAGCTTAATGAAGTCATCCCTTTCACAAGCCGTAGAGGACAAAAATAGAGCATAGCTAAGCACATAGTAATAGCTGAGAGGTGGAGTTGAGTCAACCCTCTGAGAGAACTTGGGTCTTTCCCTTTTCTGTAGACCTTCTGGGTGCATGAGGCGTAAGTTCTTGAGCTGTCATACGTGGACAGTGTTACAGCCCCTGTCAGTGCAACAGCCAAGTTTTGAATGAGCACATCTGAATTCCAGGTTTTCCTGTATTTATCTTCGCATTAGGGATTGTTGGTCCATAGACAAAAAGATGGTCGTGCTGCAAAATGTGTGGTTGGTGCTAGGTCTTAAAGGCAGGCCGTGCCCATTTATGTTAATCCAGTTTTGCGTTAGGAGTAAAGCCTAACAAATACGTACATTTCCAAGTTCACTATAGCAGTGATGGCACGTCCCACCTCTGTGCTGCCTCTAAGCATAGCTGTGATTCAGACCTTGTCCTGCCAGATATGAATGTTCTCCATTGACATCTGTAGGGGCTGAGAATGAGTAACACCTTGCAAGAGCAAGCTTTCAAAGAGTAAATATACAGCTGTGATGATGTAATTCCAAGCCATGTTTGGTCACAAACATTTCATTCTGCTTTCTGAAGTCCCACGCTCTTTTCCTGAAAACATTTATTCTTCCTCCCTCTAAAGGAAAAAATATCTTGGATTTGTGTTTATGTTGTTGCCATGACATTTGGTTAAACTGTATGCAGATGCATGTTCTGTTAATAAGAGAAAGGAAAAAAAAAAAGACCTGTGTACTTCAGTGAACAAAGATTGCCCTGTGTTTGTATTAAAATGTTGCTATGGCAGTGCATATGGTTTTATTTGGTGGAAATTTGTGGTGAGATGGAAGGAAATCACATGTATGCAAGACAAACAAGAAATGGCAGCAAAAGCGACTCGACGTAAATACTGAAACTGAAAGGGAAGTCGCAGATGACATGTAAAACCAGGAAAAAGTAAGGATAGTTGTTTTGCTGCCTGTCTGTGACTTGATAACAGAAATGTGTTCCCATTGTGTCCTGCTGGGTCTCAGTGACCTACTGGACAGGGGCTTAGCTCTAAAGATGCCTTTATTGCTAGAGCTTCTTTCCCTTGTTGGCTCCGTGTATTGTAACTTTTTTGTTTTGGAAACAAAGTTCCACTGGCTTGGCCTGATTTCACCACTGCTGACTTTTCCTGCTGAAAAGCATTTCCAGGCTATCTTACTGAAGTAGGCTTCTTGGCAGGAAAAACCAATAGAGTGATAAAATATGGAAAGCCACTAGAGCCTCATCTGTCTCTGGGGCAAGGGGAAGTCTTTGTGGACTAGTAGTAGAAACTGGATTGTTTTTAACTGGCACAGTAGTCTTCCTATTTATCTTAATCCTTTTGCATTAGGCTTCTTTTTGCATCAGTTCGCTAAGTACAACTGTGGGGTTGCATGAGAAATCAGAATGGGTTAGAAGTCATCTGCCAAAGCAGCAGGGGTTGAAATGAGAGGGGAGAGGGAATCATGAATAAATAACCACACTGGAGCTGGCTGGTTCCCACATGATTCCAGCTGGTGGAGAAAGCAAAAGTGCTTTTAAAATCACATTGCCACTTCCTTCCTGTCATCCCACTTCCGCCTCAAGAAGGGGGAGGAAGTGACTGTGGAAGCTGCTGTTGCCTTCCCACTCACTGCTTCCAGGTTTTCTACTGAATCATATTGTACCCCCAGAATTTGTCCGTTTTGCCACGAGTGCCAACAGGGAGTAGAGATGCCCAAGTGAGGTAAATTAAGTTGGTGAATGACGTGCATATATTCAGGAAAAACAGCAGATAGATTGCCTTAAAAGCTGGCCTGAGAAGTCCCCATCGCTTCCATGTCTAAACTCTCAGTGGTATCTCTGTTGACCTTCCCTAACCTATACTTACACCTGTGCTTGGGTATCCATGCTGGTTTTAATGAGATGTTCCGCTACAGCTCAAGTATCTGCTTCTGTAGAGTAAAAGCTACTGCCCTGATTTAAATTCTCATTACAAACTTGCTGGCCTTACAGCTGTGACATCTTGATGTCTGATTTTGTCAAATTAATGAGCTAATTAGGAGCTAGCCTGGTTGGTTTGAGAAGCTGAAGGAGATCAGTAGCTTCAGAAAAACCCATGTCTTTGTCTCAGCCGATACTCTGGGCTGCTTCTGATCTGGTGTTCACCTGGTGTTCTCGTAAGTATTGCTGTGGACTACTCAACTGGTGTTTATAATGGAGCCCCTTCATTCTTACTGAAAATGCACTCCTTATGCACTTAACTAAGTTGTTAATGTATGTGTCCAAACTGGATTCCCATCTGGGCAAATCTGTGCACCCTACCGTTATATCTAGTAAACAAAAACCTCACTATCTTGTGTAATCTTTCCCTCCTGGACAGTTGTTACATCCCATCCCATAAGTGGTTGTACTTCAAGACAGATGAAGTTGCTTATGTAAATGGTGCCTTGGGGTCTTTCAGGATCTTCTCCAATATAAATTGTGTATGTAGAAGTCATAGCAGTAGTCTTGGGGGGGGGGGGGGGGCTATCATGTCATAGAATACCATACTTTGAGATTCTTGGTATTTGGTTTTTACAGGATAACACAGACAAGCACTTATTATATCATTTTGTTGGTTGAAGCCTCCTTTTAAGGATTTATATTTTCTAGACATGTTCAATGCAGTTCAGTTGTTCATGAGTTTAAATGCATTTATAGCTATCTCCAAAACTAGCTGTACATTATGCTTTCACTA